ACCCCCCCCCCCCCCCAAACAACCTCTCTCACAGTTAAGAATAGATGTCGACATTTGCGATTGAAGGAGGTACAGATCACCTGGTGTCAGAGATAAAATTAGCTGGAAAAACGACGTCCTAGTTCGGAGATATCTAAAATTGTCGTGTCCCTGAAAACTAACTCCTAATTTACATTTGTGTCTTTGATCAAAATTTGTTAGTACAGTCCACGAAAGCATGAGTTGTTATATGGGTATAAACTAGAACTTTCCCCTATGTGTCTTTTGTGTGTCTAGGCTTATGAGACTGGATCGCCACCTTTTCCACTGTACAGCCCTAAATGACATCAGATCTACACTTCTCCCTCCGAGACCTAACATCAACAACACACTCTACGGAACATTACAGCAACTGGAGCAAACCTGCATTTATCGCTACTTGGCATTGGACAGAAGGGCGAGAGCCCAGCTGTTGCTGGATCGATAACAACAACATATGGGCATAACAGTTATTGATCCCAAAACAAAATATTTCGATAAGAATTTCCAGACTGGCTGAAAAATGTCGATTTCTTTAATTCCGTTATTTTGACGAGCGCCTGATTTCAACATCATGCAACACATTATATTGTAATAACGTGATCTTATTGGAGGAGACTGGAGGTATAAAAAGAAGACTGAAGAGACTAGTGTTGAAGAGAGAAGATGGTATGAGAAAGGAGAGAGGAGTAGAAGAGAGGAGAGTTGGGGGAAGAATAAAGGTATACAGAGGAAAGCGAAGGCCGGGTTGGTCCTGACAGGCAGGGCTGAAGTACCCCGCATCCTAAATGATTGTAATTGTATTGATGGGGGCGTTAATTAAACATCTGCAATTATTACAACATTGCGATGTAAATGTCAACGACCACTTCATACTCTGTCTCCAACTTACGTGTACACACAAACCCACTCTTAACACACACGCACACACACACACACACACACACACGCACACACACACACACACACACACACACACACACACACACATGCACATACATGCACTTTTGAATTAAATTGATAGACTCGTACACGAACATGGCTATAAAATTATGTATGTATCATGAGGGACTCCCTCTATCCCCCCCCCCCCCCCCCCAAACCGTCGGCTTTAACCTTAGCTTTATTGTAATAAAACAGATTACTCACCAAGCATCACCACTGAAGGACGTAATTATTCAGACTTCGACAGGGTTGTCGGTAAGAAAGTCATTAAGTGGCAATATCATATTTCTCATAAAATTTAATGTTACAGCTGTACGGATCGTCAACATCTGTTTTCAACATATTCAAACAATTGATTTCGTAAAAGATTGATCATGTTGTAAAATGTAAATTTTTTAAACTTCAAATGTCCCCAAACTAGACACTGAGCAGACAGAACTTTGTAATTCTAGGGTAGCGAATTACCGACTGTTTAACCCTTTGGGTGCGAGCGTTCTGGTCTTTCCACAATGCTGAAAGACGCGCCGTTTTGGGACGCTTAAGAAGAGTTAACCAAAAAAAAAATAATAATAAATAAAAGAAAGGAATCATAATTTCGTTACATTATGTATTTATTTCTATTTCATACACATGTTTCAATTCAAATTTCTTAAAGTGGAACTTGGAAAGGAAAACATTATACAACAAAATGCAGAATGCACTATTAAATAACGTGCTATATTCATGAGTGTTTTTGATTTGCTGCAGCATTGCATTTGCTCTGCTCTCTGAGGTAATTAGTGGGTAATCTTTGTTTAAAAAAAGGATTAATGTGACCGTATGTAATGTACATGAGCGTGGATGATCTATGATCACTATGAAGGGTTTTTTTTGCACTGTAGGTTTCTAAAGTATGACCTAAGATTCTAAAATGTAGGGAACTTAGCGTATTAATTAGTCTCTTCAGACTTCAGCGTGGAATCTCAGAGGTGACTTTGGTGTAATAAAGTTTGTTGTTGTTTTTTTTCGTTTTTTTTTCTTCTAAACAACGGAGGCACATAGGGGGCTCTCGTGGCCTAGAGGTTAAGGTGTTGGCCTCTCATTCAAAGGTCCCGGGTTCGATTCCGGTAGCGACCGAAACATTTTCTTCTCTAAATTTGTCTCCTTTCACCTCCTTTCCTGCTCTCTAGCAATGTTCTGTCGTCTGCTTTTGTCTCCTCTTTCTGCCCCACCCCCTCACCTCCTTTGCCGCTTCCTCTGGGCTCCTGATTCTTTCTGCAGCCTTTCTACTGCTACTACTTCGCTTCTTCTTACTGCTGTCTTTCAGCTACACCCCTGATCTTCTGGTAGGAAAGATCTACACCTAGCCTTCTCGGACATGGGCTAAAAA